TAATAGTGCTAAATATGAAAAAAAGTATTTTTAATTTATGGGGCGGGGAGTCACAGAGGTTTGCTGTGTGAAAGGGGTCACCAATACAAAAGTTTGAGAACCACTGTCCTATAAATGCTAATCTGAGTTGGACTGCATACAGATTCAGGGCCTCCAGTTTCTGAATGGAGTAGCACTCACAGCTGGCCACACCACAGCAGAAGCTAAAAAAAGGAGATAATATCAGAGGCACATGGCCCACATGGGACCAATGTAGTGCTTCTTGCATCCAACAGCACACTTGGAACTGAAGTATTCTGCATGAAAGCATCTCTTGAAGTGACCTCTAGAATTGCACTCTTTCTCACCAGGGGCCCATATCAGTACTTCTACATAGCTGAGCACTTTGAATCATTTTGCTGCTGTTGCTTCTAGAGGAGTCCAAGGCTCTGAAGTTCCTGCCTCTTTGCCTCTTTGAAAACAGCTTTGACTGTTTACATTCCACAAGGCAGATGCCTGAACCAAAGTGTTCAGATCCAATAGACGTGAAGACAGTTTGAATTTAGAATGATGGGGGGGGGGATGCAGTAATTAGAGTTATGACTGTAACATATTTTCAGCTACCTAGATTAAAGTTCCCTTTTTGCTATTTGTCAGTTTTGTCTTGCATATTATAAATGAGAATTATGTGAATGATGTCTTGCAAGGATAGTCTTCCAACGACAATCACATGGGATCAATTTATCCTTGTGAAAAATAAATCAAGTTGAAAATTTGCTATTTACCTCAAGCATCAGCAAATCAGAGATATAATATATCATAACACAGTCTCTAAAGGTTTTTTAAGTGAAGAGGGAAGATAAATATAACACTTTTTAATCAAAGATTAACCAAAGTAAATATAAAAGCTTCTCTGACAGATTTAATCCTTTTGCTACTCACTTTCCCCCTCCCCCACCCTTAATAACCATTTTATTCCTGTGTTTTCAATGGAGCTTGAAATAAACATGGCTCTTATGCTTCAGCATCATAGAATGGTATCAGCATAGCTCTGAACTGAGTTGTTAACCTGTATTCTCTTTTTTAGGTCTAGTCCAGTGGTCAAAGTTCTTTTTGATCTAGGTCCTACCCACACATTGTTTGTTTTTAAAATTTGGCTGGACAAACAACAAAACAGATGCATTTTACCAAGAAGACAATCCTTCAGTTATTATGAATTTTTAGGTCCAAACTCTAACCTCTTAAAGAGTGCTGATTTACTTTCCAGGGGATTTTGCTACCTAGATGAATCTCAAATAGGCAACAGTGAACGCTGAAAGTCATATTGTAACAGCTGACTATAATTGGTAAAACCGGTTGTAAATTCCAGCACCAGCTACTTTTATAGGATAATTATGAACTTTAGATTGCAAGTTCTTTAAGACAGGGCATGACTATTTTATCATATGTCCGTACCGTGCTTAGCACAATAGGATACTGATTAGAATATGTAGGTGTTACTACAATACACCATAATAAATAAATTATAATAATAGAGTACTTTCCAAAAGAATTGTGAAGTCAGAATGATCTCTAGCCACTTGACAAGCCACTAATCACATTCCTGTCCTCAACTTTTTATGCTGAACTTCAGAATATCATCTTTTTAGATTCTTAAATGACCTCTTCACAAAATGACCAAATCACACAATTTGAACAATTATGAGGAATTGAGAAGAGAGGATATCTCCCAAGTACACCCTGGTCTTTTGTAGCATTCAGCACTTGAAGACAGAGGTAAAGTCACTATTTAATAATGGTGACATTTCCTTATTCTTGATATATATTCTCTGTTATTGCTAAAGGGGCTGAATTATTATTTTTCTATTGAAAATAGAAGTCATTATATAAAAACCTAAGAGATGAATTAATAGATATTATATAAATATTTGAAAAAATACTTATTGATAACTTAGACGTTTTCTGCATTTTGCAGCTTGTTATGTGTTTAATATTTTTTCTTTCCTTTTGCCAATTTTCCAAATATCCTTATTTCTGGTTTGTTTTAATTTTGAAATGTACCTGGATAGGCTGTTTATCTCATTGGTCCTGTTCAGAGGGAAGATAAGAGGAAAAAAAACAGTAAATCCCTGAATGAGTTAAAAATGCCTACTTGGCATGCTCGATCAGTAGATTTGCTGTTATAAGGTAGCAGTGCCTCCACAGGAGGTCCACATAATGGATAAACGAAAATGGGAGAATTTTGCACCATCTGATGAATCTGGCTTATGGACAGTTGAGATACAGCCAATAGTGGTGACATTTCCCCCTCATTCCTTATTGATAAGCATCTATCAGATTAGAAAAGAGATGGTCACTACTAGTGTCATGGTTGAGGAGCAAGATGGAGGAAATGTTTTACGTCCCTGGGCAAAGATGCAGCAGATATCTGATGGGGTCAACCCAATATTTGTGAGGTGGACCCACTTCCCCCGGTGGATGAAGGCTAATGAAAGTCCTACGAGAGGTGGTTACTGACTCATCCATGGGAGCAGGATATCCTCATGGCTTTAAGTGTGATTCTATTCTGAAAAATGACCATGTACTGCAGCACCTTCTTACTCAACAGATTATTCTTGTTGTGTATTTAGTCCTATTTGCTTATTTTAGAGTCAGAAGTAAATTTTGATAGCTTTATCACATTAGCCATATAGTGAGCTGGATTCTATTCCTTCTTTTATTTAAACAGAGTTGTACAAACTGGCCTCCCCTGGCCAAGTGTCAAGAAAAGGCAATTTTCAGTTCTGATCAGGGCTCTACAGGACTCCCACCAATAGACTTTTGCCTGCTGTGCTCTTTGTGAAGGAGAGGATGCAGAGGATGGTTATTTTCACCTAAAGGGGTCTCCTACAAGGTGCTGTTCCAGTCTATCACCCCATGTTGTGCAACAAACATATGAAGTCATTGTAGGAGATCTTCAGGAGATAAAGGTATGGACCTATCGTTTGAATAGTGTCCCCAGTATTATTATTAGGCTTTTCTATGGTGCTTACCACTATGTTATCTGAATTTGTCCTCATAACATCCTGTAAAGTAGAGTAGTATCATCATCTCCATTTTACAGATGGAGATTAGTAGCACAAAGAGATTGAGTGTCTTGCCCAATGTCACAGAAGATGTTTTTGGCAGAGCTGTGAAGAACCAGAGAAATACTGGAATGAGGAAGAAAAGAGGGTGTATTTGGGGGGAAGATAAAATGACAAGAGAAGGAAGGAGAGTGAGGAAGAAAATGAAAGGGAAGGAGACAATCAGAAGAGAAGAGACCAAAAGGCTGAAAATGAAAGACAGAAGAAAAAGCGTAAAGTGATGGACAAAAGCAACAGAGACATACTAAATTACATTTTGAAAAATGTATTTAATAGAAAACTGAATGACTATGTTCAAATTAAACAAACAAATATTATGCACATACAAAAGATTGAATTCCCTCAGAAGCTCCTTTCTCCTCTATAACTGTACATAGCAAGACCAAAAATGCCGGGGTGATCTTTTATCCCTGACTCAGAAAGGAGAAATATGCTGTTTAAATTTACCAGAAATGTTGTGTGTGGGGAGATATCTTGGTGGGCGGGACAGAGGATTTTATTCACCTATTAGCAAATTACTTATCTTATGGGTTGCGCAAAAGATATTGCTTGGCCTGCTTGCCTGAACATGCTAGTCCAGCCCTGCCTGTAGGTCCACAAGCTGCCTCCATTTGCTTGAACCAGTCCTGAACTTTCCAGTCAGAAGGCAGCTTCTCAGAATGATTTTTATGTAAGAAATATAAGTTCAAGGTTTTCTATAAATCTTTTTGTAAATTAGCATCAGTGCTCATAGTAGTAAAAATTGTAATACATTCCTCAATATGGGAAGATTTTTAATGCCCCACAATCCATAAAAAGAAGAAAGATGTTTAGTCTCTTTCTCGCTGGGTAATTATATAGTCCTTATGTCTGTAATTTCTTAAGCCTTGTCTACATAAATAACTAGTTAGCAGCAAGTTGGTGTCCGAATCTACCCTGAACTAGCCTGCTGCAGATTGTGTGGATCCTGCACGTTAACAGTTCGTTAATGCACTCTGATTGGTCCTATTTCAAAGAGGACTAGACCAAAGCACATTAATGAATTGTGAATGTGCATCAGCAGGGTCCACACAGACAGTTAGTCCAAAGCAGGCTAGTGTAGGGAGATTCACACCCCAGCTTGCCACAAAATAAATTTTTATGTAGACAATCCCTAAGTGCCTGAATTTTACACCTTTCCTACAGTTTTTATTTTTTAAATGGGACCCGATGGAATTCAAAGGAATTCATAAATCAGAGAGGATGGAATGTCAATGCTCCAGGCATCCAATCCAATGCCCATTGCACACAATGGAAATCTTTCCAGAGACTTCAGTAGGAGGTGAATTGGGCTGTAAGGCTGTGAAAAGATTATATATACCTTTTCAGACTTATTTAAACGATAACATGGAATAATGATAGAAATCCTGACAGTGTAATTTATCGATACTAACTGTGTCTTTTGAAAGCTACCAATATACTTATGGATTTGCCTGATTATTTAAGTATTTGTTGTTATAAGAGCATACATAAAGAGAACACATTAACCCAGAAACTATTAAATTGCCAAGAAAGTCTTTAGTTAAGGAAAAGGATTTTTGCTTCTAGTGTATATTTAGGAGTATGATACTGTATAATTATGCCGTTTTAGTAATTTAAGACAAACTATATTGTACACTTTTTCTAAAATGTTAAATCAAATCTATAATCTAATCAAATAATTATTTGGAATAAAGAATAATTAACATGGAGGACTGAGTAGGGTGACCAGATAGCAAGTGTGAAAAATCGGGACGGGGGTGGGGGATAATAGGAGGCTATTTAAGAAAAAGACCCAAAAATCGGGACTGTCCCTATAAAATCGGGACATCTGGTCATCCTAGGAATGAGGACAATTTTTTTCCAGGAAACTTGGGCTGTTTAATAAACAAAATTTACCTTTTCAATTTGGTCCTGTGCTGCAATAATCTCATAGCCATCCTGCCCTGAGCAATTCTTAAACACCAAAATCCTGAGTGAGGACTTCTCAATAAGCTTCTTCATGTGGTTGGAAAGGACAGGCTTGGTTTTCCTTCTCTTGGCACCAGTAGAAAGAACCAGACCATTCATCGTCCAAGTTACTTTCTTCATTAATGACAGATGGTCTGGAAGAAAAGAGAAAAAAAAAGTAAAGTAAATATTTGGCTTCAAAATTAAAAATGGATACATCATGCTCCCCTTTCCCTATTATATTAATAATACACACTGGCCTGTCTCCATGTAGATGCTGGTATTTTCTGAAATACTACCACACGCTTCCCACTAACCATGACATAAGCTATAGCAAGCTGTCTCCACTGATAGCCTGCATAAATCATCATTCCTGAAGGGAACAGATGTTCAGGGTATGAAAGAGTAATACCACAATTTAGTCATAATTAAAATTCACTCTTAGCATGCTTCTATCACCGATCAGAGAGGAGTATTTAGCTTTTCACCTACAAAAAAACTGCTTCCCATCTCTTCTGCTTCAGGAAAATTAAGCCTGTTCCTTAACTTGTACAATGTTTGAGTTCCACATCTGACATTGAATCCCACAAAGGATGCTATTTTTCCTCCTTAACAGTTGATTTCCTTGAATGGTTAAAAGGATGACCTCTACCTAGTGCCACAGCACAGAATATATTTGCAACTACATGTAAAAGCTTGAACCCTTACTGGAGTTGCCATACAGGAAAGTAAATTGTAGAAAATATGTTGCTACAGATTAAAACCAGGCCAGTAAACACACTATTTTTGTCAGTAATAGTTTAGTCTCATCTACACATTTTCAAAAATAGAGTTCAGGGACTAAGTCATTTAACTCCCATTGATGTTAATGAGAGCTGCGTTACTAAATCACCACATATCACTTTGAAAATGTAAGGATCACATTGCCATTATTAGTGCTGGATAACATGTTAAGTGAATGCCACTGTTCTTTCTTTCTTTGGAGAGTGGGTTTCAATTCACAAATCTTTAACATCATGCGCATTAGAGTTATTCCATTATGGAATATATAGAGCATGTCAACATGTTTGTTTTCATTAAAATTACAATAATAAATTGGCAGTGCTTCTTGCTGCAATCTGCATTCGTTCTAGAAGGACACTCTCCCTTTTTTCCCTCAGGACATAGCTATTTACAGTGCAGCTGGAAAGATCCTCATTTATTCAGGGGCTCCATTTCCCAAATAAATATCCTCAGTGGGTACCTGTCTGTAGAAACTCAACTGCTCCAATTCTGTAGTATGGGCCAGATCGTCAGCCAGTTTATATGGGGTTGACGCTGTTGACTTCAGTAGAGCTACACTGATTTACAGCCACTGAGGATCAGATTTTATAAAACCATCTAATCTAATGGTGGTCAGTGGGTGGCATTTTGGAATGTTTGTTCTCAGCCTAGAAGTGAATTTCATTTTTTAAAGTCTTTGCACTTCTGAGCAGTTTCTATTTTCTGCCTCACATTAATATCCTCCCTCCCCTTAGGAGGTTTTTTACATTTCTGGCAGAACTCATGAATTTCCTGTTTTTCCCAGTTTTAAAACAGCCATCCTTAAGGCACACACAGCAACTTGGGCCTTTTGTTGTCACTGTGAAAATCCATCCAGATTTGGCCAAGTTATGAGCACATGCACATGCTCTGAACTTGTTAGAGGCTTACTGCTATATCTCCCAACACTCCATCTGCTGTGAGTAGGCCCTAGTCCCACAGCACTAGCCCCTTCATGGCAAACGCACTGAGCATGCTCCAGCCCCAAGGAGCTTTATAAATGCCAATTACACTCAGACTTTTCCAGGGTGGACATAGAGCAAGAATTCCAGATAGGACATAGATGAATCATCAACAGTGGCTCCCATCTCTTCAGCCGAGGGGAAGGTGTGCTGGGTTGGAGGCAGGAGGAGACCTTCCCCTGAAATTCTGTGCACTTCAAAGCCCTTATTATTGAGCAAGACCTCATACTCCTACCTTAGGAGGCCGTCAAGTATCACCCCTCCCTGAAAATGGCAGCCACTTCCCAACCACCCCCTCGTGGTCTGAGGTCATTCTGCAGCCACAGCCTCACTTTTCCTCATCTTCAACTCAGGGCCCCTTAAATCAAACTACTTACAAACTCTTTCTGGTTCAGCCAGGCCCTTCCTTGGGGTTTGATCTATTAAAATAACAAAATTATTCCTACATAAAGTTCTCCAATTTCCACCAATTGCATACTCCCACTGAGGATCTCTCATTCTTCCCCCACCTTGAGCTTGTTCCCTGAAGACTCAGGGCTCCCTGCTGGCACCTATTCACTTCCAGCAAATTTTTGTAACCTCTCGTTCACTGAGGAGTCCCTTTTCTCTGCAGCTTCCTTCTCCTCCACACCCAGCTTGCTCTACTCATTAAACCCCTTAGGTGTTTAACTATTTAAACCTCATCCCAGATGTGGCAGGCAGGGCTAATTGTACATAGTTGGCCAGCTCCAGGCCTCTGGCCCTTAAAGGGGTAGGCCACCCCACATCCCATTTTACAAATGGAGTACGTGAGTACACAGTCTTCCAGAAAAAACAGTAACCATGGTTCTGTGATATGTGTGACATGGATTCCGCTTCTGGTGCACATGAGCCCCGTGCATGAAAGGTCAGGTTCTTTTGGCTAGCAGTGTCCATTAGTGGCACACCCTGGATGCCCTTATGTTCCCTCCACCTGAGGGCAAAAAGGATGGAGCAAGCCCAACTGTCCTTCAGTTCCTTCAGCAATACAGAATTCAGATGGAACAGAACTCTGTAGGACAGCATGCAACTAGCTGATGAGGTGTATCATCGACTTAAATGTCTCCTGTGATATATAAGCTGTTGCTGATGTGGAATCTAACAGAGCCACTGTGAGTGCTATTCTCTGAGTCAGTAACAGTGCTTAACTTTTCTTTGTTGATCTTGAGACTTAGTGTGGTAAAAAGATGTTGGATTAGGTGAATGATACCATTCACCTGCTACAGTGATCTTTCTCAAATGAGTCAATTGCCGAGGTATGGATATACCTAGATCCCTTGTCTCCCTAGGTGAACTCAGAGCTGCCATGACTACCAAGCACTTGGTGAGTACCCTTGTTGCTGCTGAAAGACCAAAGGATAGAACTCTGTATTGGGACTGGGATACTCCCTCTTGGAATCTGAGGTATTGCCTGTGTGCCAGCTGTATCAGTATGTAAAATTATATGTCTTGCAGACTGAGATCTGCGAACCAGTCTTTTGGAATTTACCAAAGGGATTATGGAGGCCAGTTTTACCATCCTGAATTTGAAATAGTGGATGAATCTGTTGAATCTCTTCCTTCTACAGAATTAGAAAATAATGTGAGTAAAAACTCCTTCCTCTGAACTTCCGGGGCACTCCTTCCACTGCTCACAGATTTAGAAGGGAATCCACTTCTTGCTTTAACTGTATCTTGTATGAAGGATATCTGGAGAAGGGAAGGGAAAGGCAATAGGAAAGGACTGAAATTGAATGGAATACCCCACGTTAATAATCGCTAAAACCTAGCAGCTTGAGGTCATTTGATTCCAGGCATCTCAAAAATGCCAATGGGGCTGGAGGGGAGGGTATAGGTCTTCCAAAGATTATTTGGCTCTCAACAATGGCATCAAACTTGCTGCCAGGTGAGGGACGCAGGGTATGCTGTACTGAAGGAAGAGGCAAATGGCCTTCTGCATTGGAATTTCTGCTTCTTTCTTAGCAGCTCTAATAATCTTTGTGGGTTATAACAATACATGAAAGTCTTTTGTCTCAAGTGAGTTTTCTTCTAGGCCTATTTTCTCCTAGGGTCTAGCAGGTAGACTCCCAAGAAATGGAGACCAGCTCTCAAATCTTTCAGAGAGTGCAGAGCTTCATCAGTTTCTTCACTAAAACATGTCACAACCTTCAACTGGAAGGTCCTCAATTGTTGTCTCCTTCAGTATTTCTGAAGATTTTAGCCAAGTGATGAAGGTGCCCACTGAGCATGCTGCAATATTGGAGGCACCTTTAACACAGCCTATAGCAAAATATCAGCTACCAAATGTCCCTCAGGTTCAACGGACTTTAGTTCCTCCTTATGTTCTTGAGGGAGTTTCACAATAAACTATGATACCTTGTTCCAATGAAGGTAATTATATTTTGACAGGAACACCTGGTAATTTGCAATATGCCTCTCCAAATGTGACGATGAGTAATTTTTCCTTCCAAATAAACCTAATACTTTTTGGATCCTTGTCTCTTGGAGTCATTTTAGGGGGTTTCCACTATCTCGACATTTCATGCACTCCCATTGCTATTAGAGAACCAAGAACTAGTTGGGTGTAAAAATATTCAAACACACTTGAAGGGACGTGATAATACCTTTCTGCCTTTTTTACGGGTAAGTGCCACAGATGCTAGAGTATGCCATAAATATTTTGCCAGTTCCAATAGACCCTTGTTAATTGGCATGTAAAGCCTTCCATGCATGTAAGAGTGAAAAATGTCCAGTAGCTTGTGTGATTTTTCCTGTACTACCTCCACAGAGATTTCTGAAGTGTCTGCCATGCTACACAAAAGTTTCTGAAATGTTTTTAAATTGTCTGGCTGAGTGGAAGTGGAGGTAACTACTGCCTTATCTAATGATGAAGAGGAGATCACAGCTGGAATCAAATTCTCTTCCTATCCCACAATCTGTAGCCCAAGCTGTGTAGTCTGTAGCAAAAGGTACAGAAGAAAAGGTATCAACACACTGTCAGGTGATCTGAGCCTACCAGATAAACTCCTTTTTTCCCCAAGGTCAGGGGTCTGAGGCCACAAATTTTCGGAGTATGTCTTTCCATAGGCGCCGACTCCGTGGGTGCTCCGGGGCAGGAGCACCCCCAGGGAAAAAATGGTGGGTGCTGAGCACCCACTGGCAGCCCCCCTGTCAGAACCTCTCCCTCCCCCAGCACCTCCTGCCCGCCGGCGGGCCCCATGCAGACGCACCTCCTCCTCCCTCACCACGCCTCCCGCCCGCTGCGAACAGCTGTTTTGCAGCGTACAGGAGGCTGGGAGGGAGCGGGGAGGAGCGAGGATGTGTCATGCTCAGGGGAGGGGCGGAACTGGGCGGGAAGAGGCGGGGTGAGGGTGGAACAGGGGCAGGAAGAGGTG